CTGCGCTGGAGATGGGGGGGAGACAGGCTGGCTGGCTGGGGTGGACCCTGCGTGGCTGGAGCACCCACGTGGGACCATGACAGCGTCCAGATAAACTGTGCCCACGCAGCCATAAAGAAGGGGACACGTGAGCATCAACGTGACTGGAGCTGAACGTGATGTAATGAGTTTGGGAACAGCTTTCCCGGTGGGGGGGGCGAAGATGTGCAGCAGAAGTACCATCACATCTCCATCACCTGGCCTCCTTCCTGACATCCTCAGTGCCCAAAATACACCCCATGTGGGAGGGGGAAAGCAGAAAGTGCCCCCACACCCCCCTGCTGCCCTTCCCCGGGCGGGCAGGAGGCCATGCACGTGGCGTCTCTGATCAAGCAACGTCTCCAAGATGGGACGCAATCATCTCCTCCTCACATGCTCCCGCTCCTTCGTTCCAAGTCACTGGCGCTGCAGGTTTCCATTTTTCCAGATTATCTCATTTTTTGGCACCTGACTGCACGGACTGGGACTGCGTTTCCCACTCAGCCCCTCCATTTAGTATCTCGGGCTGTAGGCGCTTTCCCGTTAAAAATAATAACAACACCACCAACCACCACAAAAAAAAAAAAAAAAAAAACACCCCGAAATCTAGCCCAAATTAGCACCACCTAAACACACAACAACCACCAAACCAAAAACCATCACCCACCCACACAGCACCCCACCACAAACCAGTAATCTTGGGCACTAGAGACCACAAAAAAAAAAAAAAAAAAAGACTACCCGTAATCTAGCCCAAATGTGTCAGCTGGTTTTAAGGAAATGTTTCCCTACAGCTTTAATCTCTTTGTACAGTTAAATTGCGGTGCAGCTCGGGGAGCTGGAAATGATTACTCACTGCGTCTCCGCTCAGCCTTGGCCTCTTCATTGCGGGGAGCGTCGCCGCGTTAATTGTCATCCAAATCCCTCTAACCCTCAGCTCCAGCAAGGCAGAACAGCCCCTTGCTCGGCGTCCCCCTTGCAGGACAGCACAGAAGAAAAGTCACCCCAAAGCTCGGGTGGCTTTGCTCCTCCATCCCTGGTATCCTTGGCAGGATGGAGGCTTGGGGCTGGCTGGTGGGGGGCACTGGGCTGCAGCCCCCACAGTGGCTTCCCCAGCACATGGCAATGTGTCCCTGGTTTTCAGATACAGCCTTCACAAGGAGCTCAGAAGATCTGAAAGTTTTCTTTTTCTGTATTTTTATTTTTTTTTAAATTTTAGTTCAGCTCTACGGGAGCCTCTAAAACAGTGAGTTCTAAAGAAAAGGCTGTCCATAGGGGTCTGAGGATGGAAAAAAGAATGAAAAAGTTGAATTGCTCACTCTCCCGCTGACACACTGCTTGTTTTACAGCAAAACAGGAGGGGGGACCCTGCTGCTTTTTATGAGGTGCCTGGCACCACATGTGGCTGTCCCAAAGGGTGGCATCAGACAGCAAGGGGACAAAGACTCCAAAACAGCTGAAAGCTCAGAGGTGGTTCAGACCATTTTGCACATCACCATGGTAGGACTCAGCTACTGCAGAAGAAGGTCAAGTCCCAGTTTTAGGTGAACATTCCCATTGTTCCTATTTTGCCAAGCTCTAGAGTATCCTTGTAAGAAAGGACAACAGGGGAGGAGAACTGTGGCCCAACCAGTCGCCAAGAGCATGAAAACAGAGGGCAGGAGCAGGGAGCAGAGCCACGGTGGAGAGAGCCTGCCTTGCTGGCAGTGTGCTGTTCCCGGGGCCCTGGGCACCCTGATCACAGCAGCTTGTGCGGAGACAATGGTGGAGAGAGCCTGCCTTGCTGGCAGCATGCTGTCCCCGGGGCCCTGGGCAACCCTGATCACAGCAGCTTGTGCGGAGACAAACAGGATCATCAGATCAAACTTTCACTTCTCATCTGGGATTGCTTCTAATCCATCACCTGAGATCCCAGAACTGAGCCTTCACCACAAGTACAAACAGGTTCAGATTTGGGGAGAGCAGAGACAAAGTATTAAACTGATGTGGAAAACTAACTTTTCTGGGATGAACAACGTCTTCCCTCCCACCCCTGACCACCACCGGGTTGCAAGGCATGAAGAACAATCGAAGAACAACATGTTCAACCACACATGCCCAACACCAGTGTCGGCAACGGGGGGCACCAGTGGGAGGGGACGCTGAGGCAGGAGGATGCGGCAGGATTAGTCACAATAAGACTAAGATTTGTGAGTCCTACATATTAAAGACAGCTTCCTGCAGTGTCTGAGGCTGCGAGTTCCAAAACAGCACTTCCCCTCACCTTTTTTAATGTTTATTTTTAATTGCTTGTGCCTCTTTCTGCCCTTTGCATATTCTCCCCTTGCCTGCACCCACTGTGCAACCCTGCTCAGATTTCTCTGCACGACCGACTATAGCATTCCACGTTGCCTGGTCATCCCATTCCATCTCCTTCTCCCAGCTGGGAAGCACCAGCCACCTTAGGGACACGAAGTCCAGCTTTGCCCAGGATGCTGGTGCAGTGGGACATCACACCCATGATGTGCATCCACGTCCCACCTCCCTATCACCAATGGCCCAACTCAACGTTAAACATGCAGGAGAGTATAAGAAGGACTCAGAGAGGGAGAACAGGGAGAGGGAGAAGTATTTCTTGCTCTTCTGCCCCATGAAGACACCTCCTGCCCTCCTTGCACCTTGAGAACCACGGCACCAGAGAGGGCTCAGCCCACGCCACCAGCCACACCACCCTAATAAAGTTCAGTGCTATAATTACTCCTTTCCTTTGTGGTTTGCTCTGAATTGCCAAGCTCTCTCAGTGATTGCCTTTCTCCTCCGACCGGCCTCTTCCTGCTCAACACGCTCTCCTGCATACCTCTGGCAGCGGGACAAGGGGTTAATGGCAAGGCAGCTGAGCCCCAGCAGCTGGGAGAAAGCAGCTCCCAGCACAGGGCTGAGGGCAGCTGGAGGCAGCTGCCTGCATCCCCTGCTCAGCTGTTTGCACCGGAAAGCCACCGGGCAACGGGACTGACGGGTGTGTGGTGCCATGGGAGGATCTCTTGGGTGCCCCAAACCCTGGGAGCAGCACGAGGGAGCAGGACTTCACACTGTATGTTTCCTCTGCTGCAGGCATCAGGGAGCCGACATTTTCACTTGGGGGCATGTGGTGGGGCCAGAGGTGCATTGGACCTGGAAAGCACCAGCAATGTGCCTGCACATTGGTCACCCACAGGGCTCCCTGAGGGTCCCTGTGCAGCCTCCCAAAAACTCCTCCATAGGCTTACACCAGTGACAAGAAGAGACAGCATCCACCCACCCAGCATCACCCCAGGGTGGGTGTTGTGGACCACGGGGAGGAACGTCCCAAAACAGGGTCCTGTGTGACAGTAGCCCAGGGCAACCTCGAGTCATGGCGATGGAGGATGTTGGAGACAACTGGGAAGGGGACACAGGCCCTGGCAGTGACTCTGGGCTGTACATCCGTGCTGACACGGAGGGAGAAGGAGCCAGAGCCCTCCCTACCCCCTCTACTTTGTCTCCTGACTCTTCTTGGAGGCATTTAGACTGAAAGCCCCTTTTGTACCAGTACCGAGGGCTGGCTGCTCTGCCAGGCAGCCCCCAGACAGCTGGGCTCTTGGGTAAAACTCATCCCCAGCAGCTGTCCTGGGCTCCTGGAGTCCTTTTTGATGCAAAGGGCCCTCCCTTTCCCTCCCAGGCAGCTGGGGGATTCAGCAGCTTAGATGGTCTTCTGCTCTTAAAGTGCCTAACCATCTGTGCCTCAGAGCCTGGGAAGCTCAGAGCAGCCCAAATGCAGCAGGATGAGGCCGAGCACCCACCCACAGGAGATGACAGGCCTCCTGGGCAACACACACATGGCAGCTGGGGACAGTTGGGTGCCCCAGGCTGACCCTGTCACTGGGATGGATCTTAGAGCTGGAGATGGAACAACCTCCTGGAGGGATTTGTCCACTCTTTAAAACCCAGCTCAGAAAAGCCACACCTAAGCCATACACATGCACAGTGAGAGAAACCCACACAAGTCTTATGGCTTTGGTATCAGCTCCACCATTGACTCCTGATTTGATTTTAGACCATGCACACACACCAAAAGCCAGCCTCTTGGCAGACCCCACTACTGCTTTGTGACCAGGGAGAGGAGATGGAACAGGGGTCCATCCCATGGTGGGATGAGACAAGGGCATGTGGTCCAGCTCCAGGGCCAGGTATGGACCTCCCAGGTCCTTGCTAAGCTACCACACACCATCCCACAACCCCCGAGGAGAGGGACAGGGCGGGGAGGTGGTGCCCTCCATCCGACCGCTGCATCCCTTGCAGAGAGAGCTTGTGGGTGATGGGGAATGGAAAAATAATTAAACAGACCAGAAGAGAGGAAAAAAATATCTCCAAAACATCAGGGAGAATAAATGACGGTTGGCGGGGGAGGGAAGCTGGCTTTAATACGGGATTAATTGAAAACAAGATAGAGCTAATATAAGCCAGGGCTCCAGTTTAATAGTGGCTCTGGTCCATGATGTTATTAGACTTTGGCTCCAAGGCCAAAAAAACGCTGACTCTTGCTAATGAAGAGGCGGTTTCTGCCCCACAACCATGAGCAACAACACTAAACAACAAGCCATCACAACAACGCCTCCACAGCCACCGCCTCTCCAGCACCTCAGAGGCTTTTCTAGATGCTGCACGGGTGGCATCACACACGGGGCCTGAGCCAGCAGAAGTGTCATTTTCTGCAAGCACACAGGCTTTTGGCATTATCTTTTTAATTTCCTTATAGGCTTGATAGCGGTTTTTATTCAAACTGACAGCTCTCTCAGCCAAGATAAGCCCCAGAGTAACAGCCACGTATGTAGACATATCTGAGCACAGACCCAAGACTAGCCTCAAAAGGCATCACCACCGGAGCTGAAAGAGCAGAACACAACACTTGGCATCCCCACAGCAGGGGACAAAGGTATCAGCCTTTCACAAAGGTATCAGCGTTTCACCCAAGCAGCTCTACTCACCTTCTTCTCTCTTTGGTGGGCTCTCCATCAGCACTGGCGGTGGCTTTGGCTCTGCCTGGGGAGGCTGTGGGGCCAGGGGAGGCTCGGAGCTCTCTGCCTGCCGTGCCGGTGGGGCTGGGACCTCGGCAGCCTTCGCTACCTGAATTTCCACGCGCTTGGTGGCCGTGTCGGGCACAGGAGCGTTGGCTGTCTCAGCTCTTCGCTGGGGCATCTCGGGGATCTTTGATGCTGGCGCCTCCACCCTCCGGAGACCCGGCTCCTGGGGCTTGCCGAGGGTGATCTCAGTCCTCCGTGGGGTGGGCTCGGGGGGTTTGTGCCCCAGCACATCTGCTCTTTTGAGGCCAAACCTCGACAGCCCTGAGGTGGAGTTCTCCACCTGCTTGGATGAGATGTCAATGGAGATTTCTGTTCTTCTGGACACCGGCTCGGCCAGTTTGGGTCCAGAGAGCTCCACTCTCCTCAGAGAGGGCTTGGGTGATCTTTGGCTTGTGGGGTCCGCATGTCGGGCAGATGGCTCCGAATTCCTGGCGCCGAGTTCCTGAAACTTCTGTGTGGAGCTGGACACGGTGGACCTGAGTAGGGTGTTTGGGGTCCGTCTTTGTGGGGTGGAGGAATTTGAAGACTGATCTACCTCCTCGACCTCAAAAGATCTTTTCAGAGCTGGAAAACATGAAAAGGAGTTGAGAATTTAGTTACCATCCACCTGAGCATCTCAAGAGATGCCTACAGACACTGCTTGAAACTCATAACCCCACTCCTGAGGGTGAGGGTTCATAACACAATTTAATGCAGCTGGGGACTGAGGACCAGGCTCTGCCTCTTCAAGCAAGTTACAAACCCAGCAACAAAGCAGGAACAAGAGCCAGAAAATTCAATCTCAGAGCAGAAACTATCCCCGTGCTGACCTCCATCCCCCCTGCACCCCACACGTGCTCAGAGGGCAGCAGAGGGCCCCACAGCAGAGCAGAGCAGGGCACAGGACTCAGGGACAGCCAGTGATCCAGCTCCCAACACCTCCCCTCTCACATCCGAAGGATGCGCACATAAACACAGGCTTCCCGATGAGCTGCCAGCAAAATCCAAGTCAGGAACAGGAAAACAGTCCCAGGAGAGCATCAAATTCATATAAATCCAGCCACAAAACCAAGGGTGGCAGCTGAAGAAGTTCATATCCTTAAAAACCAATCCTAGAGATCACCCGAGCCAAAGACCGACGTGCTTTGGAAACACTGACACGAGGCCCTGATGCAAGGAAGGAGCCCATCGGGAAGGACAGCCTAAAATCTAAGCAGCAGCATCCCCATTTTACCAATGGGGGCAAAGAAAGACAGATGCAACATCAGATTGGATGTTCCAATTTACTCTTGAAGAGGTGGCAGCCCTGCCCTTGCCGTGCCCCAGCACCGTGCAGGATCCACCCCACGCTCTCAGCTGCAGTCGAGCAGACACACAGGTCCCCCCACAGAGTGGAGTGACACTCACAGGAGTGCCCATCCTTCAGCTCTGCCTGTCACACAGGTCCCCCTCAGCACGCAGAGCTACGTAAGAATGAAACCCCCAACCCTGCCCCGAGCCAGAAGCGTGGAATGAAAGCTGATGGATGCTGGTGTCAGACCCTCAGCTCGGGGGCACAAATCATCCCTGAAGGAAACCTCCATCCACAGAGTGATGCTCCTATCCCAGCCGTACATGAGGGCCAGTAGCTGCCTGCCCATGTCCTTGCTCATGCCTGGACATCCCCATGTCCCTCATGCAGCCCTTCCCACCGCTCTCTAGCCAAGCCTCTGGAAAGAAGCAGATGCTCTTAAGCCCAGGAGACCCCTTGCTCCATGCAGGCTGAACTTCACAGGCAGGGGAGAGAAGCACTGCTGGAGATAGGACAAGGGGAAGTGGCCTCAAGTTGCGCCAGGGGAGGTTTAGATTGGATATTAGGAAACATTTCTTTACAGAAAGGGTTATCCAGCATTGGAATAGGCTGTCCAGGGAAGTAGTTGAGGCACCATCCCTGGAGGTGTTCAAAAGATGGGTTGACATGGTCCTCAGGAATATGATTTAGTGATTTTTTATTGCTTATTTCTTATTTATTTTTTTGTCAGAGTTAGGTTGATGATTGGACGAGAAGATCTTTAAGGACCCTCCCAACCTAGATGATTCTATGATTCTATGATCCCATCCAAACACCATGGGCTGCCCATACACCCTCTGCCCCCCAGCACCTAGGCAGGCACAGGGTCAGGGCAGGATGAGACACAGCCCTGGGGTCCCAGAGCAGCCCCCATGAAGTGAAGCTGAGCCAGCATGGTGACAGCCTCAGTATGATGACAGCCTCAGTATGATGACAGCCATGCTGCCAATGACCGGCACAAGCATCAGTAACAAGACCACCACCCTTTACATCAACAGGATGTATCACTGAGATTTAGCCTTTAAAAACCTGGGCTTGAGATCACACAGAATGCCAGGAGCTGGAAGGAGAGACTGGAGCACAGCCTTCCCTGGTCCCAGGATGTCCACCCACCCCTGGCCACTCCTGAGGTGGAGCTGGAGAAGAGCCATCATGCGGGAAGCACCTCCTCTGCTCCACGGGGCTGCTCCGATCCACCCTGCGTGGGGCCAGGGGGTCTGGGGACCTGGGGACACTTCATCCCTCAGACACATCCATTCGCTGGAGAGGAGCCATCTGGCTGGGCTGGGTCCAGCTGGTGGGACGGGGGGACATTCATGTGGCAGCTGCCCTGGCTCTGCTCCACCAGCAGACTGCAAACGCAGCTGCTGACACCCACCATCCCCAGCTCTGGCCAGGGCAGGCAGCAGATGTGGCTGACACCGTCCTGGGCAGCAGGGGCTGGGGACAACGGTGGCCCCGTCCCGTGGCAGCAGCTCCCAAGGATCCCAAAGGAGATGGTGAGGGAAGTGAGGCCCTCGGAGCTGGGACTCACGTGTCGGAGAAGCCACGCAATGGGGAGGCATACAGGAGCTAAAGTGTTAGGATACAGGCTTTGGGCTGCTTTCCCTTTTGGGGGAAGAACACACAAAAACTGTTAAATATGAACAAGAGGATCCAAAACCAGCCAGAACGGGCACTGCAGAGGCTGGGACCAGGACCCTCCCCAGGATGCTCACTATTAGTGACCTGGTAAAAGCCCCTCCGTGCTCAGGGACAGACGGACACGGCATGGACACACACCCACGTCTCCCAGTTGTGGTTCAGACCCCACCATGGGAACTGCTGGGATGCGATGGGTGCCCAGGATGGGGTCCCAGGGAGGGGGTCCTGGCTGGGGTGGGCAGGGAGGGACACACGGGGTGATTCACCCTCAGCGTTCACCTGATGGAAACAGCACCACGGCCACTTTATGGCTGTGAAGAGAGGAAAGCGCTGAAGAACAACACATAACATCCACCGTGTAAACCCAGGAAGGGCCCCATGAAGGGCACTTAGTGACAAAATGGTCTGTCCTGCATCTCAAAAATATTCAGACGTTGGTAGGAGGAGGGAAGGAGGCAGTAATGAAAAATAAAGATGTTTTTCCTCTATTTGATCTGCTCTGTTTTCTGCATCCTGCAGAGCCCGCCCAGCCATGTCACCTCTGGCTTGCAGAGGTGAGATGCTCCCTGCGGCAACCTCTGCCCCATGGTCCATGCTCAGCACATCTCATGCTCTGCAGGTCTGTGTCTAAGTCCCCCCACCATCCCCAGAATTAATCTAAAAAAAGTCCCACACTTGAGAGTTGTTTCAATGTGTCTATAACTCTCAGGTCTTCAAAACTGCACTGGAGCTCAGACTCTCCAGCACAGATTTTTCTATCGTTTTCCTTCTCCATCACACCCTTAATTCAGAAACTAACATTTTTTTTCCCCAAAATCTCAAGTTTAAAACAATGCACTAGACAAGCCCAGTTTGCATTTTGCAGGAAAACAAAGAGAGAGGAAGGGACGACCCAACAGGGAGCCTTTCCCCGGCCTTGAGCAGAGCCGGGCAGGGCAGAGCGGTGGAGGATACAGCTCCCAGCTCCCTGGTGGATGGGATCTCAGTTTTGTCCACGTCAGGCTCTTAAACATGCTCGGTCCTTCCTCCAGCCAGCCAGCTCAGCCTCTTCTTATCCTCTTCAACAAAGCAGCCTAATAACCTCATGACAGATGTGTCTGGAGGAATAGTTTGAAAGTAAATGCTCTCAAGGAACTCGATAGCGAAGGAAATGCTGGCGAGCATCTTTCCTTAATGAACATCTCCCTGGAAATTTCTCAACACTGCGTGGTTTGAGGATTTCCTTCTGACCCCGATAACGAGCTTTGGATTCGAACAGCCCCACTGATCTCCAGGGTTCATTGCCTGAACCACTTCCATCATCTCAGCTCCTTTGAGTCCCCCTGCCACTTGCTACAAAGGAAGTGGTGACATCAGTGACCAAGTGGTGGGTTATTGACAGCAGTGCTGGAGCTGCTGGGCATGGCCCTATCTATTGACATCAAACCTCTAAAGCACCCCAAGCTGGGGAAAAGCCTGCCCAACACCACCAGCATGGTTTTTCTGGAGCACAGCCATCGCCTGCGCTTGTTGAAGGGCTGGACTGATTACAACACCCATACATGGCTTTTCTCCAGGCCTTTTCTGGGCCCCGCTGCAAAAAGGAGAAAAAGGTCAAAGCCCAGACACAAAGGGGTTCAAAAAGCCTAAGGAAGAGCTGTAAAACCATGATTACAGCCACAGGAGACCCAAGCCATCCAAATAAAGCCTCCCGTGCTGTCACTGTGGCCCCAACGGGCAATGAGGAGGTACTGAGGGGCTGTGAAAGGAACCATCCAACCCAAGAGAGGGTTGGAAATGGCTCAGCACAGTTTGTGACAGCAAATTCACATGGACTCCCAGGTCCCAAAGGCATTCCCTCCCCAATGGTGGCACCAATCTGCCTGGGGACAAGCCGTGAGCTTTTTCACCCGGGGCTCTCTGCAGGATGGGGTTTGCATCTCGTGCCTCTGGTTGCACAGGGATTTTGGTACCCAGCTTGTGCTGCCAACACATTTGGCCACTGCCCTGAGCCCAGCACGGCCCGGAGAAGGTCAAACATCCCATGAACAAGAAAGGAGAGGGACTGTGACCCACAGGGCTTGTGTTTCCACCTCTGAGACAGCGACCCACTGCCATGAGCATGATTCTCAGGGATGCCACCTCCAATGACACTGGCCCTCAAACTCCTCTGCTATCATCTCTCTCCTGCTCCTCGCCCAGAGAAGAGAAAAGGACCTCAGGAAGCAAAACAACTCTCGAAAAAAGAGAAAAAGCTTAAAAATAGCCTGTCCTGCCCAGAGCCAAGAAAGGAAAGTAAACAGCCTCTGCTCCAGATGACCCTCCTCCCGCTTCCTGCGGGGAAGCTGGCGTATTCCTTACAACAACAGGAGCCGAAGGCAGGGCAGCGCTGCAGGGCCCCGCATCCCGCTCCCACCACACCGTGCTGGGGTCCCACACTAGTCATGGCTGATGCTCCAGGTCCCCACAGGGCTCCAGATCCACGTCTCCCTGATACCCTGAGGCCAAGGTATCCCTGTCCGGAGCAGGGTGTGGGACGGTCACGTTGCAGGGTTATCCCCACTGTATTTTCCAGGGGATTTTCGGGGCTAGCAGGGCTTCCCCAGCCCCACCAGCAGCATCCGATCTGCTG